AATTTCAACTCTTTCTGATATTATTTTAGAAATATTTGTGTTTTTAATATCATTGCCGTTCACTGGTTTGCTATCCTTTACACAAACTCGCTAGGCATGTTACACATTACTTTCCTCCATCCAATTTTTGCTTAGTACCTTCTTGTGAGTCTCAAATTCTCCGTGCCGTCTTTCCTTATAATGGGTCCCATAAATTCCATCTGTCTCTTTCTGATTTTAAGTATAAACGCTAATTTTTACGTTAATCTGCCTTAAAACATTTTGGATAATCCGATATAGATAGATTTTTTTTTTGTTTTATCGTCTGCAGTCTAATTCGTGGTACTTGAGAGAAGACAGAAACGTTTACTGGAAATGACACATATTTTGTTATGGTTGTGTTATCAGCCTTTCTGGCAGATGCGTTGGAGATGAGCGTCGCCGGCCTGACTTGTGTTTGTTTGTTTTTTTTTCCTTTTGCTCCTCCTGTAAACAGGTTTGAATGTCATCAAGTTCGTCAGCAAAGTTCGTCAGCAAACTACGTTGCATCTCATACACGTTGTTTATTTATAGGATAAGGGAAGATGCGTAGAGGCGCAGAATTTATAGAAACGGCGCGCCCCGCTGGCGGAACGACACAAGGCCGTATAGACACACAAATATCGACAAAAGCAAAATGGCGCATGCGAACTTCCTATCTATCTATCTGTCCACATTTAAGGCATTCTATCTATCTATCTATCTATCTATCTATCTATCTATCTATCTGTCCACATTTAAGGCATTCTATCTATCTGTCCACATTTGCCATTCTGTTTATCTATCTATCTATCTATCTATCTATCTATCTATCTATCTATCTATCTATCAGTTCATATGTCATTCTGATTATTATCTATCAATTTTAATCTGTTCACATATGCCATTCTATCTATCTATCTATCTATCTATCTATCTATCTATCTATCTATCTATGTATGGCGACAGTTGAAATAAGACTGAGAATTGACTGTAAACGTTTTTTTCACGCAAGAAAACTCCAGCTGGTGCAAGACCGAATGAAAATTAGCAAGTGAAAATCTATTAAAGTTGAAATAATTAATACAGTTCAAGTATCGAACTCTGTGTTGCTATGACCTAGCGATGCCCTCATATAATTTCTGTAGCTAAAACTTGGTACTTGCAACGTCTTGCGGCGATGATGAATTGCTGCCAATGGTTTGGTTTCCTTCCTTTACATTGAAGATATTAGAAATAAAAAAAAAACGTGTTAAAAAAAAAAAACTTTTGAAAAAAGCAGCAAATATTTTCATCTCAGCATTTGAAATCCGGCTGAAATTGTTACTTCCAGTAAGATTAGCCCAAAGCATACTTAGAAAATTCTGTCAAGATGGCTTGCTGAGAATAGAATAAAACCTTTATGATGGCTGTCAAAGAACACTAACATTAACTTTTTCAAAAATAGGAGGGCACTCTCGAAAACCCCAATATCCGACAAATTTAAGAAGGAAGAATATTATGAATATTCCTGAATTTTTATAAAAAGCTCGTCGTGAATTAGGACAAATTTTACCGACAGCGGGAGGAGTCATTAAACAAATATTCGACTGATCATGGGATTCTTTTGAGCCACCCACCAGGTTTCGATTGGACTGATATTGCTTAGTCATTCAAGTTTAATTAGTTGATTTGACTAAAACAGGTAAATAAATCTCATCTTGAAAATCAGCGTCAACTGTATAAAATGTATATATATAAAAGTCTGTAGCCTCTGAGTGTTGACTTCAATGTTCATTTATATATATATATATATATATATATATATATATATATATATATATATATATAAATGAACATTTATATATATATATATATATATATATATATATATATATATATATATATATATAAAAATGAACACTGAAGTCAACACTCAGAGGCTACAGACTTTTTCATGCTAGACGCAATCATCAGGCCACATGTGTTGGATTTTTCTCGATTATTTATATATACGAGTCAGTTGTGCATTTTGGGTAGTCCATTCTAACGGTTATTTTGGCGGAGGTGGTTTGTTTATTTATTTGGATTAATTTATGTTACTTGTTTTTTATTTTTTTTATTTTATATATTTATTTATGCTTTCCGGTTTTCGATGTTTTAGTAATGTAGTAAAAAATTGAGATTGGTTCAGATCATTCATTTAGTGGTTTGGTTTGGTCTGGGAAGGTATTTGAGGCAATTTTTCGTTCAATTTTTTTGATTGTTGGTGTGGTTTGTTAATTTGTTTATTATTTTATTTATTTAGATTCATTATTTTTACTTGTTTCTGCTTTTTTTAAAATTTATTCTTTGCAGTCTATTCTAACGGTTATTTTGGGGGAGCGTTTTTAATTTGTTCATTTATTTATTTGGATTAATTTGTTTTTTCTTTTTTTATTTCATATATTTTTATTTATTTCGGGTTTTCAGTTTTTAAGTAACGTAGTAAAAATCTTTAAGATGAGTTCTGTTCTTTTATATGCTATTTTGTTATGGTCTGCGAAGGTAATTATAAGTATTTTTTCCTCCAATTTTTGCATTGATTGCTGTAGTCTATTCTAATGGTTATTTTGGCGGGAGTGGTTTGCTAATTTGTTTTTTATTTACTTTATTTGTTTGGATTGATTATTTTTACTTGTTTTTTACTTATTTATTTTTTATTCGTATTTATTCTTTTTCGCTTTTATAACGGTTGTTATGGCGGGCGTGGTATGTTAATTTGTTTATTATTTGCTTGGATTAAAATATTTAAATTGTTTTTATTTTGTTTATTTATATTTATTCTGTTCAGTTTACGATTTTTAAGTAACGTAGTAAAAATTTGTTTTCATGTCTGCTTTTTGAGATGAGTTCTGATCGTTTATTTAGTAGTTTGTTTTGGTCTGGGAAGGTAATAATTGCTATTTATTCCTCCAAGCAAAGTTTGCAGTTTTTGGAGTGATTGTTGTAGGCTGATGTTCTTTTCCTTATTTTCCATGATGTTTTTGGGTGTGATTTGCGATTTGTTTTTAATTTCCCAGATATACTTAGAAAGCATTGTGCTGTTCGCGTATTTACTATTTATGAAAGATGTTTTGTTTGCATATTTTCTTTGTTTTCTGGGTCCTTCATTTACTCCTATATATATTTTTCTTCATTATCTGTTGATTTTACCGTGGCTTGGTATAATACGTTGTCTTGTAAGCAATTATATAAAGAATGAATGTCCCTTAAATGGTAATTGCTGAATGATATCCATGAAATTAACATAAGTGGAAGTAGGAGAAATGAAGATTAGGAAGATAGACAATGATTGGCGTTTTGACTTGAAGGGCAACATTAACGCGAAAGTCGATTTCACAAAGTAGCAGTTCTTGGGAAATAAGTCAAAATTCCTCCTTATAAATGAAATACATTGCGAATATAGGTGATTCGACGCTGTCGACGTAACACTGTGAATCATAGTTGCAAAAGTGAACGCGAGGCGCTCATCTGAACATTCGCCATGGATGTATCAATAGGTTTGCAACGCTGCATCTGAAAATGTATAAAATGCATTAAGATAGGATACAGCTATAAGAAAATGGATCGAAAATTACGCTAGTTTTCGACAGAGACGGCTCTATCTCTAACTTCATAAAATATGAGATAGGCTTAGATTGTCCAGGTAACAATTGGTAGAGTTGCGAAGAAGATGCTTTTCGTGACGAACCAGTACAGATGAGTGAGTAAGAATATTAGCTGCTTCGTCTATTAACAGAGTCCCCTTTAGGCCCCAAAGGGCAATTACATTTTACCCAGGTGGGAGAAAATAAGAAGATTCAGTAAGATCTCCCGATCAACCAATAGCGTTGTTTCCACCTCCTATGGGGTTAGTGGGGGTGTTCGTCGCTGATAATTTTATTTTGATTTTGACAAAATCGAGAGATATATAGAAAGTGCACCAGGCCATAAGTGGCACCGATATTCATACATATAGTGAATGTAAACTTTTTCTTTTAATCATTCAATTATTCAATCGCAAGGTAATAAAGCCACTAAGACGCAAGGAATTACTGAGAGTGAAAGAAACCGAGAAAACCTTAGTGTGGAAAAAGTACAATAAAAAAAGAGCATCAAAACATTTTGAAGATTGTATTTTACAAGAAAGCAAGAAGCTTGAAAAAAGTCCCACAGGCAAGAAGTACGTGAGAAGAAATTATTAGAATAGAACTTACGGTTTACTTTTAGCCATTTCAACAGTAAAATATCCCGAAGTAGCTGTTGATTTAGTACTATACTTAAACTCATGTTAGTTAAGGTACCAAAGAGGAAAGCTCATTAGAAAATATATAAAATATGTAAGTAAGCTAGGATACAGCGGTAAGAAATTGACTGAAGCCGGTTAGGATCGAAAACACTTTTCTTTGTCGAAAATTCTGCTAGTTTTCGACGGAGACGGCTCTAGTTCTATGTTTAAAATTAGGAGAGACGCTTAGATTGTCCAGGTAACAATTGGTAGAGTTGTGAAAAAGATGCTCTTCATGACGAACCAGTAGAAATGAGTGGTCAAGAATAGTAGCCGCTTCGTCTATCAACAGGGTCCCCTTTAGGCCCCAAAGGGCAATCACATTTTACCCAGATGGGAGATTTAGTAAGATCTCCCGACCAACCAACAGCAGTGCTTCCATTCATTATGCGGGGTTGGGGGAAGAGGTCATCGCTGCTAACTTTTATTTTCCACATCTTCTATGGATTTTGACAAGAATATAGAGATATATAACAAGAGCACCAGGCTAGTGGCAACAATATTCAATACTTCAATACACGAACGAAGAGTAGACTTAAAAAATGGTCAATACAGGTCCAGGTGAAGAAAGATTACCTAACACAAGACATGGGTCCGACTATCCAAGAAGACTCAGCAATTGATTCAATATAATCATTCCACTTGATGTCTGTGGCGAACGTGGGACCGAGAAAGCGCTCTCCTGGAGTTTAGAAGGCAGAAATGGTTCTTTACGATGACTAAGTGTTCTAAACAATTCCTTTCGAATGCGGGTGGTAACACTGCTATCTATAGACCGGATTTGGTTCGCCATTCTTACTTTCCCGTCGTAGACGAAACGATAAGCGAGGTATTTACAGAAATTATGTCTCGTCTGGTTTTCACGCACACCCACCTGCCAAGTTCATGTAGTTGCCATGGTTACAATGAAAAAAAGAAAAAAAGAAAAAAGAAAAAAGGTGACTGATCATTTTGTCTTCTATGATATTAACACTATTTTGCGTGATACAGGAAGCGCTCACACACACACACACACACACACACACATACATATATATACATATATATTTATAATTAAGTAATTCATCGAGTCTAGAAGAAAACTTCACAGAAAACAGAAAGCACTGGTCAGCCGTTTTGTCCTATATTTGGGACTCATCAGCAGTGCGCATCCACTACCGAGAATTGAAACCCGGACAGTTACGCCGCTCAGTCACATATTCTGTGGTGGAAGCAAGCGTCATAGCAATTGTTCCAACAGGCCTCGGCGACGAGCGAATCAGACTCGATATAGCGCCGCTTGTTCACATATTCTGTGGTGGAACTCATCCGTGTTTCTCTTTTACCCATAGGACTATAGCCCCACGAGCCACGAGTAATATCCCCAAGACGCTCCATCCAGAGCATTAGAAGCCGGTTCAAGCAAGGATTTACAAGTGATAGAAATTAGGAGGATTTGAGATAATTATAATTAAGTAATTCATCGAGTCTAGAAGAAACCTCAACAGAATGCAGAAAGCACTGGACGGCCGTTTCGTCCTATATTTGGGACTCATCAGCAGTGTGCATCCACTAATATATATATATATATATATATATATATATATATATATATATATATATATTTACAAATTCATGAATTATTCATACAAAAAACAAATACAAAGGTTAATGATTTAATTGGCGAGAAATGCATCGTCGCGAACAATTCAAATAATATATAAAAACCCCGAACCTGTTTATGAATGAAAAGATCCTTGTTTCTATAAATTTCTGTTGCATGAGTTCTTATTATTTTTACAAGCTTTCGTCTGTTCCTACAGACATCCTCAGGTATGGAATAGATTTTGTTCTTGTTTTTACCCTCAGTAATAAGAGGACAACGAAAATATATGTATTGTTGTAATCCGAAAAATGCTATTAGAAATGAGTTATTGTTTTTAGAGTTTTATATATATATATATATATATATATATATATATATATATATATATATATATAATGTAAAAAATATATGGTAAATGTTCGGAAAAATTACCGTACCCAAAATCGGGCATATACAAATGTGCTCAAGAAAAACAGACATGCAGAGCAAGCATGCAAATACAAAGAGATAAAATCGCATACAGCAGTGTTTTCGACCGTTAGGTCTCATTAGATAGCTGGGTGACAAGTGTTACTCAAACAACACAACACTACTATTATCATGCTGCCGCAGTAGAAGTCAAGAATGAGAGAAGATGTCAGCGAAGAAAAAAAAAGATTTTTTCTTCATTCGAGGTCTTACATGTAGGGCGTGCTGTTTTACACCTTTTTATTATATATATATATATATATATATATATATATATATATATATATATATATATATATATATATATATATATATATATATATGCGAAGCTCTTCAGTAAAATCAATGGAGCACTATGGCTGCTTGGCGTTTGTTTACGTTTGTAAAAACAATACGCTAGATTTGGCTGGTTCGTTCCGTCGAGTGCAGATGGCTCAGTAGTAGAAGCTCTGACTGACACCAAATCGGTTGGGTTTCGATCCTGGGCATTCGGTTGTCTAGTCCCTTACTGCTACAAAACGGAAAACGGAGGGATGCTGGAAAAATAATTAATAAATTAATTAAATCTCCCTTGTCTGTCATATATAATGAATAATGTATAAAAAAAGTTTCCTGCCAATCTCTCTCTCTCTCTCTCTCTCTATATATATATATATATATATATACCCAAGTATAGGATTGGTGTATACGGAATAAATTACAATAACCAATACATACGATTCTACATTCAACACCATTACTTGATAAGACACCAGGTGTGTTGAAACAAAATGGTTATTTTTGTATTGATTTTAAAACATATTCATGTTATAATTTTCGAATGCATAATTATATATATATATATATAAAAATATTGGTGGTCATATATATATATATATATATATATATATATATATATATATATATATATATATATATATATATATAATGCTCAAGAGGATAGAATCCATGTAGAACTCAATGTCCAGGACAGAGTAAGAGTCTCTATCTATAAAAGGCAAGATGTGTGTGTGTGTGTGTGTGTAACGAATGCAATTTTCGACGGATTTGCACCAAAATTTGCATGCACATGCGCCAAGTTAGCGGGAAGGCCAAGACCGACCTTGCATTTCCCAACTCCCATCGATAGTGGAAATAATCGATTTTTTCATGCTTTTACGGCAGTTTTCATGTAGTTTGCGGCCATTTTGTACTGGCCAGAGTGAGAGCAAATAACTGGCTGCCCCGAAAAGGCAGGAAGATTCTATTGGCCAGCGTGAGAGCCAACACCTGACTGACACGAATGTTAACTAGCATGCTAGCATGCAAAAAAAAAATCGATAGCTGCATTCGTCACAAGTGGGAAAAATTTAAATCTGCATGGCACTTTACTCCAATTGGCTCATTCGCTTGCTTAAACTCAACGTTGATTCTGATTCCGCAGAACTGGGTTGGGTGTGAAAATGTATTTGTTGTTAACATTCATTTTTCATTCGGTTTTTCCAGTTACGAGTCCTTTTTTAAAGCTGATCGTTTTGTGTTCATTTTGTTTAGTTCTGTTTTCGTTACAGATTTAATGTTTAGTATAGAGCTTAGAAAAAATTCGCAGTGTGAGATAGGCAAGAAGTAAGGCATGTAGCAACATCAGCCCGTCAAAGGCAAGGAAGGGCAAACATATTTTAAGTGAAGTGATAGCGATTGCTGTATGAGTCTCCGATTTTTAAATCAAGCACGTGCAACGCCGGGCCATGCTGCTAGTATAATATAAAAGTCTCAAACATTAATATTCCATGATTATAATTTATTACATTGGATCGTAATCACGATCCAATTCATCAGACCTGCAAAAAATTTAGTATTTGAGCCTTATATATATATATATATATATATATATATATATATATATATTACGATATATTCGTGTTCAGCCTGCATCGCTAGAGGCGCATACAGATGATTTGCTTATAATGGTGACGCTTCCTCACTATCCAGAGTAATTTATAGAAAATGTTGCAGTGTGCCACAAAGACGACAAACAATCTATCTTGCAGATTACTTTAATACAGCCGTCAATTTGTTTTTTGCCGTTAAGTTATTCAAACGGGTGCTGAAAAAGTTTTTGGATCTTATTTTGATGTTTTTCAGAATTTTGAATGTATTTCGAGCCAAGAGCTTTTCAACACGCCATCGTAAATTATTGTAGATTAGGATTCAGTGTGCTTCCTTGCTCTTCTCTACTACTGTGACAATGGATTACTCCTATTTATAAATATGGCAGGTAGCCATATTAGAGTAGGATTTTGAGGAGTGGTTGATTTACTCTAGTTTTTCCATTCTGTGCATAAGAATTTCATAAACTTCTTTGTTTTCTCTACCTCATCTTCAGTTCCTTCGACACTCTAACTGAAGCCTTCCTAATCCTCAGCTATTTGGAACAAAGACAACATTGACTTGCGTAAAAAGAATCTGACATAGTGAAGAAAAAGACAATAAAAGAACAGGGTTCCGGAAGAGAGAAGATGCTGATTGACGTTGCATTTAAATTTTTGAAGATTTTAGGTGACATGGAAAAAGGAAATCAGAAAGTAATTCCACGGGCGAGAAGTGCGAAAAAAGAAATTATTAGAATAGAATTGGCGGTTGCATTTTGCTAGTTCAGCAGTAAAACTGTGAGACCTAGTTGCCAATCTAGTAACGCGCTTATATTTATGTAGTCGTTGCACCAAGGTGGAATTCTCATCAAATATATGCGAGGAAAATATTTGTAGAAAAGACAGAGGGAAGCCACGTCACTAGGTAAGAAAACGAATGGAGTTGAGATACTCGGTGAAGATCGATTGTATTACAGGTTCTTCAAGTTTTGTCAAGAATCTGGAGATATACGAACTCTTCTTTGGATGTTATCACGAATCTGGAGATATGTAGGTGGAGTATCAGACCAGATATGGAAGCAGTGTTCAGTGCACGAACCAAGGGTAGATTTATAAATGCGCAAAATGGATTCTGAAGAGAAAAAATGTCTGACACGACCCAACTTTTCTCGAAGTAGACGTAGAAATTCTACTTGATGACCGTGGAAAACGTAAGCCCAAGAATGCGTACAGTGTTGCTTTCTTGGAGTTTAGCATCAGTCATGCTGATGACAGGCAAAAAGGTTTCTCGTGGTAATTGAATGAAAGCTGTTTTGTTTTGAGGACATTTAAATTTACAAGACATTTCTTGCCCCAGTTACCGAATGATTCGATGTCCTTTTCCAGAGCAGTTACCAGATTTACTTTGGTTGTCTGTTAGTCTTGCTACTAAGACAAGGGTAAGTGATTGTTTCACCTGCATAAATAACTTGTTGAGAACTATTGACTTCCTGGGGGTCATTGATGAAAATCAGAAACAGCGTAGGTCCAAGGATAGAGCACTGGGGGACCCGCGCGTTATTATGAAATGATCTGAAGAATGCCTATTCAAAACGACCTTCATTATAGGACTTAAGATCAATGACGCTGTGCGCACTAACATTCATACAAAAATACAAATCACAAACAATGCCAAGCATTCATTGGTTAATAAATCACCACTATATTACTACAGGTAATTTACAAATCGCAGTAATGCGGCAAATTTATAATCGCTCTATTTTTAAGTAGTCAATTTTGTGCACTTTTGGGAAAAATCGATCATAGAAGCTTTCTTCAGTCTCCTCAAAGCTCGCTCGCTGATTGGTCGATGCCAACCAATCAGATCGTTTGTACGTGAATAATAATTCTTCCCGCGCAACGATTTGTAGCCTATAGTCGCTTATA